GATAAAACTCCATGTTAGGTGGAAATTCTTTAAATGTGTAAGGAAGTCACATGATAGAAAATAAAAGATGCTAAAATGGTTTTATATAGACAGTATAAGACAATGTACTTTATTCGTAGCAAGTGAAAAAAAGCTATAGTATGAAATATCTTTAAACTTATCAAAAACTAACATTTTCAAATAGTATAAAAACAGTCTAGATATCCTTACTTAATAGTAAATGGGATTATTTTAATGCTGCCAGATGTTTACATCACGTTTAGAATAAGTTATTATAGGCTTCTTAATATTTAAAATAAATATATTATAGAAATTATAAAATGTTTTGAAAAATCATTCTTAAACATGATTTTTTGTCAGAAAAGGATAACTAGTGAAATAAGGTGCTTAATTCAGTAGTGTGAGCATAGCAGCAATGCAGTTACAGTGTGGGTCTGATTCCCAGGGAGGAATCGGCATAGCTCCATAGGCTGATATTACCCACCCCGTTGTGCATATTCACATAGTTGGTTATTGAATCTAAATTGGATGCCTAGATTATGATCATAGTTCTGTCACTAATTAGCTAGGTGACCTTAGAAAAATGGCTGTGTCTCTAAATCTAAGGAGATGAATTAATAACACAGAGTATCCACTATGTGTATGGTTTACTGATAGTCCCCAAGGATACAAAGATAAGTAAAACTGATAATATGTTACCTCATTAGGCAGGGGAAGGCAGACAGACATGAATCAAACACCGCAGAAAATAAATATAGCAATATAAATTAGGAGAGGTGCTGTGAAGTAACAGTGCTGGGTGCTGAGAGAGGGGAACAGAGGAACCTAATTTAATCTGTGAGGGACGTTCGTGCTGAGATCTGAAAGATGAGGAGTCAAGTGAACCAGATGGTGGAGGGAGGTATGAGGAGATGGAACAACACAGAGAAAGGACCTGAGGCAGGAAGAACTTCTTGTGGAACTTACAAAGGGCTCTAGAGGCTGGAGCAGAGAGAATAAGACTCTTTAAAGGATCACAGTTTCTTCCTCTTTAAAACATCTATTGAAAACTTTTTTCTAAGTTTGCATTTTTATACAGTACCTAAGGGTTTTTTTTTGTTGTTTGCATAATACTTAAAATTAAAGGCTTAAAATATATTTACCTCATTTTTTTGATCCAATAATCTATCTATAGTTGATCCTCATCTAACCAATATTAAACAACACCAGTTCTCCGACAACACAAATTTTAGTTACTACAACATATAAACGGTAAGTAATTTAATAAAGTCCAAACTTTGCTTATAGCTTTTCCACAAATAAATACATAAATAATAAATGTGCATGATAATAACAATGGTCACCAATCACATTCCTTCTTTCAAAGTCTGTCAATGATTTTTTTGCTGTTCATTGATTATTCACTTCACTCGCTTGTTTCAGATCATTAATTGTAATGCTTCCTTACCTCAGTGATAAAACATGTGGCATTTTACAAAATTGAATAATCAAAAGAAAGAATTGATCAACAAAGATGAAAATGCAGCAAAGAATCTAAGAGTGGTAATACTAGAAGTGAAACTCAAATAAAATGTAAATGAAATTACAGAAGAAATAGCTCACTACAGGGATGTTGATACTTCTCCACTCAAGAGACTCTAGGTATGGAGTCAGAGGAACTTAGTAAAGGGAAACTTATCGACATAAGTGAGGAAAGTGGATGTGATGTGATGAAACACATAAAGCTATGAAGGGGAAGTGACCCTGGCGAGAGAATCACACATTGAAAGAACTCTCAGAGATAGTTCACAACACTGATAGAATGTCAAAGCTAATTCAGCTTTAGAAAGCAGTATCCAACAAGGCATAAAACGGATGCCTACTCCATATCCTGTCCTGAGTTAGGAAATGAGAAAGTATGCACTGTTTCCACTCCTTCTGATAAGTGTTCTTTACAAAGAACTAAAACACCTTAATTCTTAATATTTTTATTGTTTTAAATTATAGTATACTAAATAACAATTAGCTTTACTATAGTTTCCTATTAATTTATAAAGAAGAGAATAAAAGTTGTTAATGTTTTGACAAACATGTTTAAGGTCATGAGACGATCCTGTTTCTTCCTCATTGCATGGTTTCATCTTGCATCATCACCTTTATGGCCTCCTATTGTCCTGCGAAGCAGGAACGATCTGTAAATTTTACGGACTCTACCCAATATAGCATTTTCAATGTTTTATTATGTACTTTAGAAGGTTGCAGTTATTTTTCTGAGCTTTCAAACTCGATCTTGAAGGATACTAAATCAACAAATGACTTGGAAAATGATATTAGTTAATTAAATCTTTAGGATTTTATCTAAATATTAGACACCAAATCTTAGGTTTGAGCACCTCCAAAGTCCTAAAATTCCAAGATCCACTGTACTCAAGTAAGTATAAGAGAAAATAGAAAAATCTGTATATTTTGTTGGGATTTAGTATTTTATTTTTAACTATAAAATATTGTTTTAAATACCATACTCAAGATCACCCATGAATAAAATGTACAAAATGGTTAAAAGATAATTTAAATCATAGGAAAACAAGGATGAAAAATTCACATACCGGTTGTAGAAATCATCTCTGTAGTAATCATAGTCAAAGACATAACCGCTAAAGAGGGAAACAAAAAAATTAGTTGGCATTTGTTTCAATAACATTAATTTTACTATTAACTTATGATGTTATAGCATAAAAGTTGTTACTTTTAAAATATTTATTTTTCAATGTAATTATGTATCCAAAGGACCTTCCAAGATAATGTCCAATTTGATATGTCATGCCAAATTATTACATGTTTGACAATGTAGAGACTGAAAATGGTTTGTGTGGTTTGGAATGAAGATAAGAACAGGTAGCAAAATAAATACTTTAAAACTTTTAATTAGCTATGAATGAAGACCATAGTTTTTCATCTCAGACAAGATATCATATAGTTGTCCTTTCTTTCTGAGGTAATATAATTATCCCTTCTTCCTAAGGTATGAACAATGAGGCTACATAATGAACAAAAGGTATTGAAATAAGATAAATGGAAAGGTTTAGTAACCCATTCGTTATAGAAATGACAAACAGAAATGTAGTTCCTTGGAAATTCAGCATTTTTTAATTCTAAAAACTATGGATTCAATACTTTAAACAGAGAAAAATTAGAAAAATAACTGTGGCTGTCTTACCAACAATACCTTAATATTTTAGTATATTTAAACATGAATTAGTAAATGCATTTCAGTGATAAGGGTATTATGACTAAGCTCCCTAAAGGAATATAGTTTAAAAAGTCACCTCCATCCACTTGCCTTGTTGTTTGAATTTATGAAGCACTTTATATGCATTTTAAATACAGTCATCAAAACAACTCTGTTGGACAGCATAACCCGAAGAAACTAAGGTGCAATAGACCTAAGGGACTTGCTCAAATTTGCATTCCTACTAGGTGACATTGCTGAGATTTAAGGGAAAGTTTCCTGATTTCACAAGTGGGGTCGTTTTCACAATACCTCGCACACTCCCCAACCTGGAAGAAGTCTTACTGTGATGATGAATGGAGTAACTGTACCACAGGGGAGTAATTAAAAAAAAAATTACTTATTTTCTTTTTATTGTGGCAAAACATACATAACTCCAAATTTACTATCCTAATCATTTTAAAGTTTATGATTCAATGGCATTAAGTACATTCACAAAATTGTGCATTGTCACTATCCATTTCAACAACCTTATCATCAACCTAAACAGAAACTTTGTACTCATTAAACAATAACTTCCCATTCCTGCCTCTCCAGACTCTGTCATTAATACAAATACAAATCGTACAATCACAGTCATACAATATTTGTACTTTTGTGTTTGGCTTATTTTACTTAGCATATTTAAAAAGTTCATCCATGTAGTATGTATCAGAATTTCATTCCTTTTTAAGTATGAACAATATTCCATTAGGGTGAGATATATACATACACACACACACACACACACACACACACACACACACACACACATATATATATATATATACACACACAGGTGCCCATCTCCCAAGACTTTCCACTAAACTACTAAACAAAGAAATTAGAAAACTCCCAAATTAACAATCTAATACAGTACTTGGAGGAATTAGGAAAACGAGAGCAAATTAACCCCAAAGTTAGCAGAAGAAAAAAAAATTGCCAAAAGTGAAGCAGAACTGAATGAAACCAAGATGCGAAAATCTACACAAAAGATCAATAAAACCAAAAGTTGGCTCTCTAAATGAATAAACAAGATCCATAGACTGTTAACTAAATTAACAAATAAAAAGAGATCTAAACAAACACAATTAGAGGTGACAAAGATAACATTACAGTCAATCCCACAGAAATACAAAAGATCCTCAGAAACTATTATGAAGACCCCTATGTACACAAAATAGGAAATATGGATAAAATGGATAAATTCCTTGAAACACACAACCTCTCATAATTGAACCAGGAAAAAACTGAAAACCTGAACAGATCAATAAAAAGTTCTGAAATGGGATCTGTAATACAAAAACCTATCAACCAATAAAAGCTCACGATCCATTGTATTCACAGCTGAATTCTACCAGACAAATAAAGAAGAGTTGTTACCAATCCTACTGAAACTATTCCAAAAAAATCAAGGTGGAAAGACTTCTCTCTAACTCACTCCATGAAGCCAGCATCATCCTAACACCAAAACCCGGCAAAGAAAAATAATACACAAAAATTGGTAGCATTTCTATATATCAATAACATTTAAACTGAGAGCCACATCAAGAGTGCAATCACATTCATGCTAGTCACAGACAAAAATAAAATACCTAGGAATCAATTTAACCAAGGAGGTGAAAGATCAAGGAGAACTACAAAACATTGCTCAAAGAAATCACAACATAAAATATAGAAAAACACTTCTTGTTCATGGATTGGAAGACTCAGCATCATTAAAATGGCCATGCTACCCCCATGCGATTTACAGATGCAATGCTATTCCTATCAAATTACCAACATTGTTTTTTAAAGAACTAGAAGAAACTATTGAAAATTCATAGGGAACAACAACAACAACAAAAGAAACTGAATAGCCAAAGCAATCCTAAGCAAAAAGAACAAAGCAAGAGGCATCACATTACCCAACTTCAAACTATACTACAAGGCTACAGTAACCAAAAAGCATGGTCCTGGCACAAAAATAGACAATAGACCAACGGAACAGGATAGAGAACCCAGAAATAAAGTCATACACCTACAGCCATCTAATCTTTGAAAAATTCAACAAAACTAAGCAATAAGGAAAGGACTCCCTAGTCAATAGTGCTGTGATAGCTGGCTGATATGCAGAAGAATAAAGCTAGATCCTGACCTTT